CGACATTCTATAGATTGGTGCAAGCAAGTCCTTATATTGCGATATGTTTTGGGGTGACAATACTTGCAACTTTATTATGGATGGTCTGGGGAATTCTACTACAGCTGACACTACGAGCACTGCTCACATATCGTGGGATATTGTTTGAAAGGTGAGATTAAAATTAACATTTCTATTGTGCAAATTTACATGTAGATATGGTCAAATATCTAATAAAAAATGCTGATAAAATGCTGGGTTATATTCGAAGATCAACTTTCAATATTCGCGAGTTTGCAATTCAACAAACACTGTACCTTTCTCTGGTTCGCTCACACTTAGGATATGCCACCCAAGTATATGGGCACCCCAAACAGTTGAGTTGGTAAAAAGAGTAGAACGAGTTCAGAGGCGTGCAACTAAATATATTTTAAATGTTCCCTTTATTTGTGATACAGAATATAGAGACCGACTCCTTGCAACCAGTTTGCTCCCTCTCAGCTACTGGCACGAATACCTGGATGTAGTATTCTTCTATAAGGCAAATCACGACATTTTTAATATTGATAAAAAAATTCTTCCATTTCCTCAACCTCCGGGTCAAAGACAGACAAGATCATTTAATCCCAACTCGCACAAATATAAAATTCCGACATACAAGACGTCAACCTATGAAAAATCTTACAAAATCCGAACATCAAGAATATGGAACACACTACCCAATTATATTACATCCAAAAACCTAACATTTTCAGAATTCAAGAATCTTCTTTTTAAGTACTATATTTTAGCATTAGAAAATACATACGATGTTGAGGATCCCCGGACATGGAAAAGTGTGTGTATAAAATGTAATTCCGCTCGAAGTTTAATGAACTCTCCATTGACATGCTGCTTATAGACACTGCATAGACAAATGTAATGACTGTTGTTCAAGTATTGTCTGTTGTGTGTGTTTAGTATACCTTGTAAATTGTTTCTGTATAACTATTGGGGCTGCTGTAATTGGCAATAGCTGTTGTGGTTTCCCAGCCAATGAATGTATAAGTATGATGGCAAAGTGAATAAATAAATAAATGCACTTTACATCAAGTATTAATTATGCTTACCTATTTGTAATTACTTACAGATCCTAAACTATTTTATCTTTACAACAATTGTGATACTACTTTCTTCACTGTGTTTATCCTAACCCACCCTGTCAACTTTCCCTGCGGAAACACACAACATATCAGCACTCAGCAGAGCGTTGACTCTCTCTGAAATGCACTAATAGACCCATTGTACTTGACGTCACAGCGCCAGTAACGATGCATCTGGAGGACAAATTAGCAATCTACGCATAATATAACTTTTGTAAACAAAGCAAATTTTGTAAAAGTTTATAATAATTTTGTGTTAAAATGGTTAATTTTTTCGCTGTATGTGGTTGTTGAACCCGAACAGATATTGTTAGGGAGCATCTGGAGGACACTCTAAGGATTTGTGACGTCAGTATGCAAAGGGTCTATTGCTTTGACGACCATGCCACTGAAGCCATGTATATATGAGATATCATAAAATAACTTTATAGATCATGTATATATGAGATATCATAACGAAACTAGAATTGCATATGAAGGAATATTATGTCAATTGTAGGTCAAGTTGCTATAGCATGGCCTACAGTTTTTGAAACTAAGTGTAGGCCAGAAAATATTCTACCCTGAAACCCCAAGGCCGTCTGAAGCGGGGAGGGGCTTGGGGGCTTGACCCCCCCCCCCAAAAAAAAAATTTCCATTTGTATAAGCAAAACACACAAAAGAACTAGAAAAGTGCGAAAGGAAATCAGATTTATTCTTGAG